CACCTCACCTCTGTTTCAATACTCTTTGGTCAATGAGTCCTTTATCAAGGTTTTCAGCTGGATGGAAAGATGGCATCTGCGCCCCGTGGCTGGCTGGACCGCAGGACTGCTCCACCCTGTTACTGAGAAGGAAGAGTTGCTTCAGGGGCTGTGGAACTGGAGATACAACCATTGTTCCTGCAGTGTCTCTGAGGACAGGGGAAGTCTGGTCAAGAAAACTAGTTTCAAATGTAGCAAAGGGAAGGAATTTCAGACAAGGATTTATGAGTGGGGGTTTGTTGCTCTACCCAGTAAGCAGCTGACTCACTTTAGATTGCGTTGTCTTACATGTGGGTTAAACAGGATTCTGGTGCAAAATTATGTGAGAAGAAAATGCTTGTTGGTTTTATTTACTTATTGTCAAATATATTCATCAAATATATTGCAACTTGACAAGTGGGAACGAAAACAGAGAGACATGAAAATATACCATTTAGTTAAACCATTGCAAAAAGTGCTTAATAAAGATTAGAAACTAAGTATAAGGAAGAATCTGGAAGTTAGGTATCAAAGACTTGATTTCAAACCTCTTTTGTGATATTTGCAATTCACTTAACTTTGAGCATTTGTTTGATTTTTCCCAGTTTTAGCTTCTTCAACTGTAAAATGGAGAGGGTAGGCTTAAGAGTCAAAAATAACATTCTAGATCACAAATAGTAGGTGGGTTTCAGCTTGAGTGAAACTCCATTTAATGGTCAATGATTGTTTGGTAGGACACTTTGCAAAGCATTGGTAGGTCACGTCTAGACAGGAAATTTGCATTCTATTCAGAACTAAGCAAATGGTAGGTGCTATGTAGATCTAAAATGTCTCTCCAAACTCGTATGTTCACAAGGAGGGTGACTGGGTCAAGGGGAACCTATCAGTGGATTTGTAGCTGAGTGCTGTTAAAGATGGAGCCTGTGTACAAGAGGCGGGTCCTTGAAGGACATAAGCTGTAAGAGTGTACTCTTATCTTTGGCCCAGCCCTTCTGTCTGCTTCCTGATCCCCATGGGTTGAATATCTTTTCTCTTCCATTCCCTTTGAACATACTGTTTCTACCTTGGAGCCAGAAAAACCATACACTAACCCATCTAAAGTCATGAGCCTAAATACTTTCCTTCTTTAAATTGCCAGTATTTTGTTCCAAGTCACTTATATGATAGGGAATATTGGGAATATTGACAGTTGGATTTTGGTTGTTGTTGTTGAATTTGGTAGAAAACTCATTGGGCAGGAATTTGCCAAAACTGAGTACAAAGCCAGCACTACCGCTGACTAGCCTGCAGCACAAGCAAGCTGATTCCCAGAGCACTTTGTTGCATCCCTAGGAAAAAGAGGTAGGTAGTGGAGTATGGCTCTAGGATGATGAGCTATCACCAA